ACTCTGAGGAGGAGGAGGTGTACTTCGAGACCAGGAACCGCAACAGGTTGAGAGAAGTGTTCGAGACATCGGAAGATGAAGGAAGTTCATTCCGGGGTTTTGCCTCCTCACCGCCCGTAGAGGAGGGCGAGAGGGGGTGAAGGGGGCCCTGGAGGGAGGTGGATGTCAGGGAACTGCCATCGGACGGAAGGGAGGTGAAAGGGCTCACACAGGTTGGGAGAGACGCAGCAGCTGAAGAGGGAACCAACAGGGAGGTGAAAGGGCTCACACAGGTTGGGAGAGACGCAGCAGCTGAAGAGGGAACCAGCAGGGGAGAGGAGCTGAGCTGGAGGGATGGCTCAGAGACACTTCCAGCGAAAACAGTGGAGAGGTTTCAGGACCTCCTGTAAGAACACCCACTCCTCGCCGGAAACTGTCACGCAGAGATTCCAGAAGACGTGTTTCCGTTAAGGAGCTTTTATGTTGGAAGCGATTGCGAAAGCAACCACTGTCGGAATCTGCTAGTGACTAGAGTAGCCATGTCTGAGGGGCTCCGTCACAGACAGAGGTTTGTGGACTTGAACAAACTCTGAGGGGATACGATTTTACGCACAAGCAGCTCATCATCCCATCACACGTGCTCTGCTCTGGTTCGCCAGAAGCGGCTTAGTCATGCTGGCCACATGACCCGGAAGCTGTACGCCGGCTCCCTCGGCCAATAAAGCAAGATGAGCGCCGCAACCCCCAAGTCGGCCACGACTGGACCTAATGGTCAGGGGTCCCTTTACCTTTACCTTTAACTGCATTAGAGAGTTATTGTGTTAGAAAGAGAGTTATAGCATTACTTAGAGAGTCAATTTATTAGCTAGAGAGTTGTAGCATTAGTTAGTCAGGGAGGAAAAGTGATACAGAAAACCATCACATCTTTTAAAACACAAGTAGGATTTCTTAGCAGTTTCTGCATTCTGGTTTTATCACTACCCATGAAGATTCAGAATCATGGGGGTCCATCCCTCCCCGGTCATGGCTGGATTATTTTCAATACATTATCACTGGGGCTGTTGCCAAGGCTTCAAGCGATATGCCCTGCCTTTTCATTTAGGAACTTATTCAGAACAAGGCCCTTTTTAGGCACCAGGAGAAAACATTCCTCTTCTCCCAGGCCTTGGGCTGATTTTAAACATGGGGAGGTCAGTACTGTTTTGTTTCCTGGAGCTTGCCCACTTCCTCACTTTCTTGCTTGTTTGTGCTTTGCTGGTCAACGGCAGCCATTTTCAGGTAGAAACCATGCAGGCAGGCAGGGAGGGAGATCAGACAATTCAGAGAGCAGGAGAGATTGGACAAATAAGTTTTTTCTGGTCTCTCTTTTGTTGGCTGGCTGCAAACATTTCAGGAAGAAGCCATGGAGGAAAGCAAAGAAAGATTGGCTAAATCCGAGATTAGAAATGTTCCCATACGAATCAATGAAAATTGTGGATTCGTTATGTGAACGCTCACCTAATGAACAATTTCCAATTTCCAAACAATTGTGTTTGGTAAGCTGGTAAAGATAAAGGTAAAGGTAAAGGAACCCCGGACAGCTAAGTCCAGTCAAAGGTGACAATGGGGTGTGTCACTCATCTCTGCTTTCAGGCTGAGGAGTCAGTTTTTCCACAGACAGCTTTCCAGCTCATATGGCCAGCATGACTAAACTACTTTGTTGCAACAGGACACCATGATGAGTGCCAGAGCACATGGAAACACTGTTTACCTTCCCACCACAGCGGTACCTATTTATCTATTCTTGCTGGTGTGCTTTCGAACTGCTAGGTTGGCAGGAGCTGGGACAATGCAAAAGGAGCTCACTCCGTTGCATGGATTTGAACCACCAACCTACCAATCAGCAAGTCCAAGAGGCTCAGTGGTTTAGACCACAGCACCACACACTCCCCTGGTAAGCAGGACCTGTATGTTACTATAAGCTGCTCTGTGATTCTTGGATGAAGGGTGGTATTAATAAATAATAATAAGCTTTGGAGGGTCTTATGATGTTGTCCCTGGGTCCTACTCCTTGCTGCGTTCTCCACAATATGCTTATGACAGCAAACAGGTAGGTATCAGGTGCTTCCAGTTCAGGGCAGCGGTTTTTGTTGTTGTTGTTTAGTCGTTTAGTCGTGTCCGACTCTTCGTGACCCCCTGGACCAGAGCCCGCCAGGCACTTCTGTCTTCCACTGTCTCCCACAGTTTAGTCAAACTCATGCTGGTAGCTTCGAGAACACTATCAGGGCAGCGGTACATATTATGAAATCACTACAATCCCACTTTCTCCCTCTCTGTCCTAAGTTGCAAAAACTTCGTTACCTTTTAAGAAAGGAGTATGTCATGTACCGTATTTTTCGCACTATAGGACGCACTTTTTCCCCTCCAAAAATGAAGGGGAAATGTGTGTGCGTCCTATGGTGCGAATGCAGGCTTTCACTGAAGCCTGGAGAGCGAGAGGGGTCGGTGCGCACCGACCCTCTCGCTCTCCAGGCTCAGGAGAGCCCCAGCGCCAGCCCCACAAGGTCGGGGGGACAGAGGGAGGCGGAGCGCCGCCATCCCGCTGTCTCCCGAAGTGGTTTGGAGGCTGACGGCGGGGAGACCCCGCCGCCGGCCCCGCAAGCTCCGGGGACAGCTGGGAGACGCAGCGCATCTTCCCGCTGTCCCCGGACTTGATATCAAGGCGGGCGGCGGGGAGAGCCGCGCTTCTCCCCGCTGCCTGCCCCCATGCTCCGGGGACAGCCGGGAGACGCAGCGCGTCTTCCCGCTGACCCCGGACTTGATGTCAGGCGGGCGGCGGGGAGAGCAGCGCTTCTCCCCGCTGCCTGCCCCCAAGCTCCGGGGACAGCAGGGAGACGCAGCGCGTCTTCCCGCTGTCCCCGGACTTGATATCAAGGCGGGCGGCGGGGAGAAGAGCGCTTCTCCCCGCTGCCTGCCCCCAAGCTCCGGGGACAGCAGGGAGACGCAGCGCGTCTTCCCGCTGTCCCCGGACCTGATGTGAAGGCGGACTGCGGGGAGAAGAGCGCTTCTCCCCGCTGTCGGCCCCACAAGCGCCTGGGGGGGAAATAATTTTTTTTCCTTTATTTCCCCCCCAAAAAACTTGATGCGTCCTATGGACCGGTGCGTCCTATGGTGCGAAAAATACGGTATGAGTTTTCCAAACCATGGGGGTGTTGTTGCTTCTTTTCTTTTTTTAAGAGCTCTGCAAGGAAGTGAAGAACATTAATTTCTAGCATTGCTGCCGAAAGTGTAAAGTCCATCCTCTGGCCTGGATGAACGAAACCCAAATCCATGTAATTTTTAGTGGCCCAGTGCACGATGTAGCTGGCTTTGTTTCTTCAAGTGAGGATGACCCCCCAAATACAGCACTTGGCACCTGAACTAACATCAATGAGGCAAGAATACTTGTTTCTGCACAGGTGTAATACACGCTGGAGAAATGACAGGGCATTGCTGCGATGGCCAAGAGGCTTTGCCCCATTTAAAAAAGCAACAAATTAGTGCAAGTTTTGCACAGGAGGGCAGGTACACACAGCCTCTAAAGCAGACACCATCAACCTGGTGTCTCAGTGTGGCTGAGACAGGTGAGAGCTGTCGACCAAAACAGCTGGAAGGTACTAGGATGGTGAATGTAACTTACAGCATTGTTAAAGTCACAAAAATTACATCATTCATGGGGTGCTGCCTAGTATCCTTAAGTTTCCTTAAGCAATGGTGAGGAATCCTAAGCCACCCAAGACAAGCTTTGTTTTAACTCCTGTTGCAAACTGTACTAAACAATCTGACTGGAAATTTTTGCATCATTTGTAAATGGCAGATTGAAGCAAGTTGGGGGGGGGGATAACAGTGCTGATCCCCAGCATCCCCAGGACATGATTTATTTATTTCTATTGACTACATTTTTATCTCATCCTTCATTTGAGAAAGTCTCAGAGTGGTGTTTGAGCCTCCTAACAACCCCTGAGGAGATCTGGGTTGGGAGAGAGAGAGAGCTATGGGCTTCTCCAAACTGGAGCTGGCTGTATGTTTACAGCTCTTTGCAGTCACATTAAATTTGGGCAGTCCACATGACATTACCCTCAAATAACAATATTGATGCTTTCCCTCTATAAACTCACCAAGTTGTAGGAAATTGGGCTCCAAACTGCTTCACTTGGGGTCGCAGATTATTTGCTCTGGTGTTTTGGGGCGGATGGATCACTTTCTGCTACTTCCCTTTCCACACCCACGGCTTCCTCAAGGTTTTCATGTCTTTTCTGACTATGCTCATCACTATTTCCAGTGCACTCCTAAATGGAGGATTCCTCACCCATTTTGATCTCTCAGATTTGTCACGAAAACAGAAAACTGCACAAGGAAATTTAGAATTGCCTGACTGTGCTTTTGCACATGTCTTGGGTTGGGAATTTTTGTATAAAAACCCCAAGGTGTGCATATAGCTGTCTGCATGTGTGCCATGTCAGTACTTAATTAGCATAATAAAATCAACAAATTAGAAGACAGGGTCCAGGACAACATACCCTCCAACATCTTGAGTTCCAAAACTGGGATGTGTCTCTCCCCCCCCTCCGTACCCCCATGTGAGCTGCAGGACCCATGTGGCATGCATGATCACGGAGCCGAAAAGATGCGCTTTTTTGGAGGCTGTGTTCAGAGTTTGGAAAGCTCTGCTGTAGACAATGTGCACTGCTTCCCCCTAGTGGAAGAGGACAAGATTACAAGGGAGAGGTTTACTCTGGAATTCAGAAGTTGTCTCCCTCTCAGCTCTCTACAGGACATCGGCATAAAACTGTCATCAAGTTGTTGCTGCTGCTGTTGATTTTATTCTGCCCTCCCTCCGTTCCCCTCAGAGGAGCCCAGGTCAGCAAACAATGAAACAATGAAAATAATACAAGAAATAAAAAAAGCAACTGCAGTGTGGGCTGGGGTTGATGGGAGGTGTTGTCCAAAACATCTGCCCCAGGCTCGCTGACACAACCATGCAGAATGCAAACTACATCCTCAGCTCAGTCAGTAGAGCATGAGACTCTCAATCTCAGGGTCATAGGTTTGAGCCTCCGAAGATTCCTGCATTGCAGGGGGTTGGACTAGATGACCCTCGTGGTCCCTTCCAACTCTACAATTTTACTATCAGTCTCAGGAAAACAAAACAAAAGAGAGATTTCAGAGTTCTGAACTGTTTTGTTTCAGGGAAGAGTCGGAGACCCATGTGGCCTCCCAGGTGCTGATAGACTCCACCTCCCATCAGTCTGGCCAGTATGGCCAATGTTCAGGGATGATGAACCACCCAGGCCCCTATCCCTGTTTTTTAAGGGGCTGAAGTCTATTCAGAGTTCCTTGTGTCCCGGAGCTGAAGCCTGGATACACGGTGTGGGGCAGCGGGGCAGCAGGTGGCGGTGCTGCGGTGCTGTGTGTGGCAGTCAGCTCAGCGGGATCCCACCTTCGTCGCCAGTGAAATATACTCAGAGTCGCAAAGTGATTTCATGCTCTTTATTCAGCTCATAGTGGTGAGGAGGAATGAATGAATGTCCCCTCAAAGTATCTGCTTTATATACATTTACACAATGGGCTGCACATAGAATCATAGAATCATAGAATCATAGAATCATAGAATCATAGAATCATAGAATCATAGAATCATAGAGTTGGAAGAGACCACAAGGGCCATCGAGTCCAACCCCCTGCCAAGCAGGAAACACCATCAGAGCACTCCTGACATACGGTTGTCAAGCCTCTGCTTAAAGACCTCCAAAGAAGGAGACTCCACCACACCACACTCCTTGGCAGCAAATTCCACTGTCGAACAGCTCTTACTGTCAGGAAGTTCTTCCTAATGTTTAGGTGGAATCTTCTTTCTTGTAGTTTGGATCCATTGCTCCGTGTCCGCTTCTCTGGAGCAGCAGAAAACAACCTTTCTCCCTCCTCTATGTGACATCCTTTTATATATGTGAACATGGCTATCATATCACCCCTTAACCTCCTCTTCTCCAGGCTAAACATGCCCAGCTCCCTTAGCCGTTCCTCATAAGGCATCGTTTCCAGGCCTTTGACCATTTTGGTTGCCCTCCTCTGGACACGTTCCAGTTTGTCAGTGTCCTTCTTGAACTGTGGTGCCCAGAACTGGACACAGTACTCCAGGTGAGGTCTGACCAGAGCAGAATACAGTGGCACTATTACTTCCCTTGATCTAGATGCTATACTCCTATTGATGCAGCCCAGAATTGCATTGGCTTTTTAGCTGCCGCGTCACAACTGTTGGCTCATGTCAAGTTTGTGGTCAACCAAGACTCCTAGATCCTTTTCACATGTACTGCTCTCAAGCCAGGTGTCACCCATCTTGTATTTGTGCTCTCTCCTTTTTTGCCCAAGTGCAATACTTTACATTTCTCCCTGTTAAAATTCATCTTGTTTGTTTTGGCCCAGTTCTCTAATCTGTCAAGGTCGTTTTGAAGTGTGATCCTGTCCTCTGGGGTGTTAGCCACCCCTCCCAATTTGGTGTCATCTGCAAATTTGATCAGGATGCCCTTGAGTCCATCATCCAAGTCGTTGATAAAGATGTTGAATAAGACCGGGCCCAAGACAGAACCCTGTGGCACCCCACTAGTCACTCTTCTCCAGGATGAAGAGGAACCATTGATGAGCACTCTTTGGGTTCGGTCAGTCAGCCAGTTACAAATCCACTGAGTAGTAGCATAGTCAAGACCACATTTTACCAGCTTCTTTACAAGGATATCATGAGGCACCTTGTCAAATGCCTTGCTGAAATCAAGGTAGGCTACATCCACTGCGTTCCCTTCATCTACCAGGCTTGTAATTCTGCCAAAAAACGAGATCAGGTTAGTCTAATGATTGGCTAATTCTGGAATTCTACTGTAAGCCAATCAGGTTGTGGATTCACTTATATCTGGAGCATGATTGGGTGGTTCCTGCCAACCAATCATACTGCTGCATTGTTCTAGGACCAATCAGACTGCTGCATTCTGAATCCTATTGTTCTAGGACCAATCAGACTGCTGCATTTTGGAACCTATTGTTCTAGGACCAATCAGACTGCTGCAGTTTGGATCCTATTCAACTCAGTACATAAGAGCCTCCTATTCCTCTCCTGTTCCATCAGTTTCAATCATGAAGCAAGTGACACAGGGAGCCACTCTCCTGAAAAATGCATGAGTGCTAGGATAAGTCCCCGGAAGCAGCAGCAGCAGGAGGAGGAGGAGGAGGAGGAGGAGGGTGCACAGATGAGCTGGTCCAAGGATTTCAGTGCCAAGGTCACACTGGGTCTCCTTGAGCCAAAATAATGTATTTTCAGTTAGACTCCTTTCCTCTTCTTCCTCTCCTCTTCCTTGTCCCCTGAAAAGATTGCATTGCAAGCTCTTTAAGTGAGAACATACATAAAAAGGGTGTTTTTAAAGCACAGCATGGTGATGAAGATTTATGCGGATATACGGTGCATATGTTTGTAAAGAGTTTGCTCATCTGCATCAATCCTCCTGTGTTCCCTCCTAAGACCATTACAAACTGCAGACATTAAATTTTAGGGAGGGATTTCACACCCAATATTTTCTCTCCTCCACACCATGAGTATAGAAAGAACAGCTGCCCACAAACATTCGCAGGTCTTTTTTCTTCACCAGTGAGTAACCAAAGCAAATATCTGCAAATGTGGGATCAGGAAGCTAGAACTGACCCCATGCAGGCAGGATGCAATGCCCAAGTGGTCAGAGATACACCAGGATGATTATCATCCTCAATTACGTTCATCAGTCACTTTACACAATACAGCAGGGGTCAGCAAACTTTTTCAGCAGGGGGCCGGTCCACTGTCCCTCAGACCTTGTGGGGGGCCGGACTATATTTTGGGGGGGAAATGAATGAATTCCTATGCCCCACAAATAACCCAGAGATGCATTTTAAATAAAAGGACACATTCTACTCATGTAAAAACACGCTGATTCCCAGACCATCCGCGGGCAGGATTGAGAAGGCGATTGGGCTGGATCCGGACCCCAGGCCTTAGTTTGCCTACCCATGCAATATAGTCTAAACTCTCAGTGACCGCTCCCCGCTTAAAACGGGGGGCGCCCTTTGCGTGGACACGCGCAGCCCTAGATCTGGAGCGGCCCCATCAGCATAGGCTTGGCTTTGCCTTCCCTCAGGTGGGATACCTGGAGGTCTCCGCCTACCTCAGTCAGTTGTCCAATCCCACCTGGGGGAAGCGTTGCCAAGGAGATCAGGCCAGGTAGGGGAGGGATTACCTGCCCACACAATAGAGGGAGGATCTTACCTGGGAATCCTCACTTGGCTCCAGAGCTTCTCCCACCCTACCCACCCTCAGTTAATGTCTTCCTTTGCAGGTTAACTTTTCTTCATAGGTTTTGCAGGTTAACTTTTCTTTACAGGTATGCGGGTGCTGCTACGATAAGGTCGCTGTTAAAGGGCCGGAAAGGAATTTCCCTGCATTGGCAGGTTTCGCCTTTCCCGTAGCAAAACGTCATAACTTTGGCGGTATCAGGCCTTGGGCGGAATCCTTTAGTCCATCTTCCTCTTTGCGGCGGCGATACCAGGGTTCCCCGTTAAAGGGGTTTCTGAAGGGAGGCTTTGACCGTACGCCTACAGGTCGTCATTGCTCTCCCCTGTGGCAGCGGCGTAACGGGGGCGGCTATCTCTGCTTGAACATATGTTCTCCAGAGCCGGCCCATCCCCCCGACAAACACTGGATAACCCTGAAGCTCCCTAGGTCCCCGGCTGGGGACTGGGGAGGGAGAACGCCCAATGCCTGAGCCAAGGTCTACCCACATTTGAAATATAATAAAGTTGTGGCCAATTTAATCCCATAGCACGTTGTCTTGAGTCATTATTCCACATGACGGGGGGGGGGGGACTCCGCCTGTCCACGCAAAGCAATTTGACAAGGTAAAATGCAACACATAAAAGCAATTTAAAACCAGAAAAACAAAACAACGAGCAAAACAAAATACATAAAATGTTCATCCAGCAACATATTATTAATAAAGACAAGTTCTACCACCCCACAAAAAGATGTGCACTTCAGAAGAAAGCAACATTAATTAACCAAAGGCTGGGTGTAATGGTTCAAGGGGTTACTCATGCGTAAGCCGGTGCCCACACCTGGCTGGGTTGCCTAAGTGAACCTTTTCTGTCCGGACAGCCAGTCACCCGTGGCTGTCTCAGTCGCTGGCAGAATCCGTCAGTGGGCGTTTCTTAAACTTCTTCCAGCAAAGAAGTTCTTTCACGCCCAGTCGCCTCCTACTTTCCCTGCGCGGAAGCCTTCTGCGCAAGGAAGGCATAGGCAGCGGAGGACCCTTCCTCCCCCCGCTGGTCCCAGGCAAGGAGTCCTGTGACTCCTTCTCAGATTCCCCCATCTGCCCCCCTTCTCTACTGGAGCTGAGCTGATTCCCTTCCCCAGAAGATGGGCTGCCTCTCCCAATCCCGTGACGCTCTCTGGGATCCCTCTGGAGCTCTCTCTCTCTCCCTCCGGCACTGATGGCAGTTCCCTGACATCCACCTCCTCCTCAGGACCCCTCCCACCCCCGGCACCCTTTTCCGACACAACCTCCTCTCTCTCCTCGGCCGACGATGCGGGGAACCCCCTGAAAGAGCTATCATCCTCTTCTGAGGATTCAAAACCAGCCTCCCATCCGCTGGGATTTCTTCCCACTGGTTGAACTTCCCCGTCTGATTCTTCTCGCTCGGACACCTCCCCTCCCTCCTCTTCTGAGGCAGGAAAACCCACAAAGTCCCCTTCGTCGTCTGTGGGTCCAAATTCTTCCTCCCAAAATCTAGCTAATGGTTTGGGCTTATCCGGGAACAAACTGTGGAATTTCTTCCACCAGATACTCGTCAGTGATTGATTCAGCCGGGACCCACGTGCTTTCCGACCGGGTTCCCCTCCCAGGCTACCAAGTACTCTACCTGGCGACCTCGCCACCTTGAATCGAGTATTTCCGTGGCTTCGTTACAGTGTTCCCTCTCCTCGACCCGCGGGTGGGTGGTGACCCCTTGCTCCCGTTCCGGGAATTCCCGCCCCTCCCTGTACGGTGAAAGTAGGGA